ACCTTCTGGTCTGTCAGTTGTCAGCCTCTGGGTCAGGTTCCTCCATGCTACCCTGTCTTGGGTCAGATTCTTCACTTCCTCGAAGTCCCTCTGCTCTCTCTGTGTGATCTCTCTGTACCATCTATACAGTGCCATATATAATATATGGCTTGGACAAACAGTACCATCTATACAGTGCCCTGTGTATGGGGTGTTTCTCGTGCAACGCATCGCACCGCAGCAAAATGCAACGAATGCGGCAGTAACTACGCCACCGCCGGGCAAAATAAGTCAGGGGTCTGTGACCTGATTAAGACTCAAATTACTTTAAAATATTGTGTAAAAAAGTCCAGCAGGACAAGGGTTTAAGTCTAGAGATTCTCTGAATTCCAAGTGTATTTCCAACTCAAAGTGACCACAGTTACAAACACTGCCAGGTGTTTACATTTACGGCTGACTTTGTTGACATTTGGCAAAGGTTAATATGCACACGCAGGTGAGCAAGGTCCACTTTAAGTGTGTCCAGGTTTCTAGCCTTTTTAATAGTACGCTTTGTAGAAGCACCTTTAATGTCTTGGGAAATGTTGGTGAAAGCTTAAATGGATGAGTGCAGACTTTCAGATTTAGTAAAGAAAAAGAAGATTTTTACCCATTTTTTCAGGTCTGTGGAGACCCCTACTTTGTAGTGGTTGGTCCGTAACCTGACACCATCAGAACAAAATGGCGGCAATGTTTAGAAAGTTGGACTGTTGCCGTAGCTTTCGGCCATCTTGAAAATGTTCAAACAAGGAGCTTCGACAAGGCCTTGGTTCAAACAAGACTTTTTGCACACCTGACATATCTGGCTACTGTGTGAGGTGAGTTGTTATGACCAGACTTTGCCTATTTTTACATAATGTTTGATACAGCATAGTAGTGTCCTGTGGCCTATAATGTTTGCATGAGTCTATTTAATGGGGGTCTGTTCCCCGTATTTGCTCAGGTAAACAATTACGGGGCAAAACTTTGCTCAGGGAAAGTTAGAATAGGGCATAACCTTTTTGACCACAGGGATGACATGGATGTCTGGCCAGAAAAACATTTATGTGCCCAGCTGTTAATGAAAGAGTTGGTCTGAATTTCATCAACAGGGAAAAGGCACGTACCTAGTATATATATCATGATCAATTTTGATAATTTCTGAAACATGTGTTCACAAACTTTAATTGCTTAAACATGTGTTCACAAACTTTAATTGCTTAAAGAGCAGACATTAACTGAAACTATTTCTTTGTATTTTCTGACAACTGATTGACACTGGCAGAGACACTGCTACAACCCCCCCCCCAAAGAAAAACACACGGCAGAACTTTTTACCCTGATTCAACTGTTGTCAAGACTTCATGCAGCCTGTCAGAAGACACCAGAGACTGACTAGTGAAAAAGTCATCACCATACCTGTACCTGATAGACATACTCCAACACTGACACCTGTATGTTCCAGGTGTTTCCATGCACCTGACATCAAACACTGACACCTGTATGTTCCAGGTGTTTCCATGTACCTGACATCAAACACTGACACCTGTATGTTCCAGGTGTTTCCATGCACCTGACATCAAACACTGACACCTGTATGTTCCAGGTGTTTCCATGTACCTGACATCAAACACTGACACCTGTATGTTCCAGGTGTTTCAATGCACCTGACAAACACTGACACCTGTATGTTCCAGGTGTTTCCATGTACCTGACATCAAACACTGACACCTGTATGTTCCAGGTGTTTCCATGCACCTGACATCAAACACTGACACCTGTATGTTTCAGGTGTTTCCATGCACCTGACATCAAACACTGACACCTGTATGAGTCATCATGGCTGAGGGAAGACAGGGAGGACAGGCAGGTAAGGCTGCACACGTCCTGGCCTCTCAGCTTTTCAAATTACAGACACAAATGTATACCCACCCTGCCAGGATGCAAACAACATGGTGTTATTCTTAATATGGAATAAGCAATACCTTTGCAGGTTCTATAACCTATATAATTATTCTACAAATCCATGACCATGTTCTTGAAATGGCTTATATCAAGAAAGACCTCACCTCACCTCACCGGTCCCATGAAAGAAAGACAGGTTTATCAAAAACACCAAGTGGGACTTCCAATAATAAAAGTGTGTCCACTCAACACATATAAACTCATGTCATGTAGTTTTATATGTTCAGGTGTAGATTTTCAGTCTGCCTGTATTAAATATAACGTCTTCAAGTTACCACGTACATGTATACTGTACTACCATGAGTTTTGTTTCCCCAAATATCGTCTTTGCTTTTTTTTTTCCTGAAGGTGCTGAGAGATGGGTAATCTTGTTGATCAATGACGAGTATGGGACTTCCAAGGGGGGAGTTTCTACCATCAACCTTGAGGCGGTTCAAACCCTGAAGGGCAAGGTAGTGAAGGACAAGGCAGTCGTGTACGCCACAGCCCTGCGTGTGCCCAAACAAGACCAGGAGGCAGCAGACAGAGACGGCGTCACACTGATCACACCCTATCAGTCAGAAGGGGACAAGAGAGAGCCATCCCTAGACTGGCTAACCCTTGAATTCAAGAGCCACTTCCCAAAATCAACGCTATCATCACATGAATACCAGGTAAGCCGCGATCCAAAATCGGTGCTACCACCACATGTTGACGTCATCATCGGCCATGCTGACGTCACAGACACGGCAGCGCGAAACATCCACGATGAGTACTACAAGGAGGCAGACCTCATCATGTTCACTCACGTCTTACCCGAGGACACTGAGTACTTCAAGGGAGGTCAGAGGGCCATGGAAGCTTCAGAGAAAGAGGATGCCATGCTCAGTCAAGTTCACAACGCAAAGGCAGCTTTCTCTGTGGGACACCGGATCTTTAAGCATTTTAAGAATAAGTACAGAGGAGACAAGAAACCAAGAGACCACCAACTGTTCTTCCCAAGGCCATCCAAGGTATTTGAAGAGGTCAACATCCAACCTGACAGCGGGGAAGGTGAGTTGGTGGTCCTGTCTATCGGGAGAGTGAAGAATGCTGAGAATCTGAAAGGTTACAACCTTATAGCAAGGGCCATTGGGATTGTCAGGAAGTATCTGGAGTCTCTGCGATGGATCACGCGCGGAATCAGCAAGGATGCTTGGGAGAAGAGCATGAAGATCCTGGAGGCCAACCTGAACAGCGGTGACCTGAAGCCCACCCTGCGGCCGTACGGGACCCAGGAGGACATCAGGAACGACATGAAGACGGCCCACCTGGTCCTGATGCCGTCCCGCTCCGAGCCGTTTGGGCTGGTTGGTCTGGAGGCCATCGCAGCAGGCATCCCCGTCCTCATCTCCGACAAGTCAGGGCTGGCGGATATGATCAAGAGACTTGTCGCCGAGAAGAAGTTGCCACCAGGTCTCAACAATAGAATCGTGGAGACCAGTATGCGAGACAGCGACATGGACAAAACTGCTGAAAAGTGGGCTGACAAAATCCGTGACACTTTGACCGACACTGACAGAGCATTCAGAGATGCAAAGGAGTTCAAAGATGCGCTTCTGAAGTCCAAGTACTGGGAGGACTCTGAGAGAGAGTTCCTGCAAGCCTGCAGTATCATAGGTACAACCATATCAAATCCAGTATCTTATTTGCTCTTGTCCTTTAACCTTCTCCCTGTTGCCTAACATCATAGCCAATAGAAAATGGTAACAAAATAGCTACTTCAGTGTGCTAAATGTTAAACTTCTCTTTTTCTTCTTTCTTTGGCTTAAGTATATGTTCTTATTGATTTTATGCATACATGTAGATTTGAGAATATTCTATTTGCTATTGGCAATTCCCTTTAACCTTCTCCCTGCTGCCTAACCCATAATCATGGAGAATCGGCATAAGGAAAATTATACATGTAGCTACTGCCAATAAAGAGTGACTGTATCTCTCAAACCTGTGTGGTTCAAGAGAATACTTCCTCCCTTTCTGCCATACTTTCTGAATGCCCAAAGCAAAAAAAAAATTGGGGGTACAAAGGTATAATCACAGCAAACCTGTTAGTTCTTCCTTCCAATGCATGTCTGGTGCTGTAAGTGTAATCCTCGATTTACATTAAATAATACCAATAAGTATAATGTTTGTAATGACTATTTTCAGGAACTGTTGTACTTAAGTCCTATTGTTGTCATTGTCATTTAAAAAAGAAAATCTGTAGAGTTTTAAAATGCTCCAAAAATTTTCTTTCTGGCAGAGATCACTCTTAAAGATGTGGATAAGGCAGCAGCAGAGTACAAAGCAGCAGTAGAAGATGTCATCTCTAAGATAAGCCAGCAAGTGGACAACCTGGACAGGGAACGCAAAGCAACTGCAGAGAACTGTAAGCAGGTAGAGAAAGAAGTCAAGCAGCACTACGAAGAGTTGATCTCCAAACTTGAGAAGGAGAAACAGGAGATGATCAGCAAGATACAGGAGATCAAGAAAGAGAGGGAAGAGGAACTGACTCGGGAGAAAGAAAAACTGGAGACAGAACTGAAAAAGAGCAAGGAAGAGGAAATCTTCTTTGAGCAGATTTCAGACCGTAAAGATGACACAGAAGCTGCTTTGAGAGAATTAAAAGAAAAGCTCCAACAAGTGGAAGAAAAGGTAGAGAAGCTGTCCATGCAGGAAACAGGCATCATCAGTTTGGTAGGTCAACCAAAAGTGACCTTGAAGCAACTCCAATCCGAGGTTCCTGGAGGTTCAGTGTTTCCTCAGGAAAAAAAGCAGAAATCTCTGAGGGAAGAGGATAAACCTCCAGGGGAAGATGATAAACCTCCAGGGGAAGAGGATAAACCTCCGGGGGAAGAGGATAAACCTCCGGGGGAAGAGGATAAACCTCCGGGGGAAGAGGGTAAACCTCCAGGGGAAGAGGATAAACCTCCAGGGGAAGAGCAGAAACCTCCGGGGGAAGAGGAGAAACCTCCGGGGGAAGAAGAGAAACCTCCAGGGGAAGAGGAGAAACCTCCGGGGGAAGAGGAGAAACCTCCGGGGGAAGAAGAGAAACCTCCAGGGGAAGAGGAGAAACCTCCGGGGGAAGAGGAGAAACCTCCGGGGGAAGAGGAGAAACCTCCAAAGTTCTCATCAGGTTCCTTGTCAGAGTCAGTTAGGTTCACTATTGATGTAGAGGAGCCGACAGTAGAGAGTCTTCCCTGCTTTGTTACAGTCACCACCAACAATGCAGATCTAACAGGTGGGAAAGTTGCACCACAGATAGAAGTGACCTCCCCCCAGGGCAAAACCACCCTCATACAAACAACAGCACACACTAGTCCCCCACTAGCTGCAGGGAAGGGACAAACCAGCAGAGTTAGCAGGGTCTGGGGTGCAGAGTGGAGACCTCAGCAGTCAGGCAAACACACACTGGGGGTCTGTATGGGGGGTATGGAGGATCTTTGTTCTCTCACTATAGATGTGAGCTGTAACAATCCTGTAGTGAGGCTTGGGGAGTGGGGGAATCAGCAGGGGCAGTTTCGCCGTCCTATAGATGTAGCAGTCAGGGGGGACAGGCTGTATGTGACTGATTGTTTGAACGATCGTGTTCAGGTGTTTGATCTGAGTGGAAAGTTTTGTCACTCATTTCCTACAGTGACTGACTATCCTAAAGGACTTGCAGTTCAGACTGATGGCACCATAGTGGTGAACTCTGAGGAGGAAGTGAAGAAATTTTCCCCATCAGGAGAACTGCTGCACAAATTCCCTCTGCATCTGGGTGAATATTCAGACCCCTGGGGGCTGGCAGTACAGAGGGATGGGAGGGTTGTTGTAGCTGATCCAGGCAAACACAGCATCTTCCTGTTTGAGGCAGATGGGACACTGGTGAAACAGGTGGGAGGGCAGGGGAAGGGGGAGGGGCAGTTTGATCCACGGTTTGTCTGTGTGGATAAAGAAGACAACATCATTGTGTCAGATACATACAACCACCGTGTTCAGGTGTTTGACAGGAATCTGAACTACAAACACAAGTTTGGTCAGGAGGGCAGACAGCCACAGGATATGCGGTACCCTACAGGGGTGTCAGCTGACAGCAGGGGGAACATAGTTCTGGCAAACAATGGGGGTATAACAGGTGGTGTTAAACACAGTGTGAAGCTTCAGGTGTTCCGCCCAGATGGCACCTGGGTGTCCACCATCAGCAGTGATGGGGACAAACTGAACCTTCCCAATGGGGTGGCTGTGACAGAGGATGGACATGTGTTTGTAGCTGATAGTGGTGAATATGACGACTGTATCAGGAAGTACAGATACATGTAACACTAACAGTGCAGAATGTTCCAGATACAGGAAATGTGAGCACCTCACAAGCTCAGTAACATACACTCTGGAACAAGCATTAGTACAGTCCTAGTAAAGTATGTGATGTTATCATAATGGTTTGGTCAGGAACATTTGATTTAACCCACTACCAGTAATTACTATTGAAAGTTAACATTTTGTCAAGGATAAATGAACAATGTCTTAATAAGACAGAAATTGGGGCATGTCTGGTCTCAGTGGATTGGTGCTTGTGCTATTTCATGTATATGGAACTTAGTCTGCATTTCAATACATCACTTTATATCACTTTATATATTCAAATTTGTGATTGGACTTATCACAAGCCTAAATAGGATCTTTCTTCACTACATCATTCAATGTGTTCTAAGTCTTTGTAAAATGTAGTGATTTCCCTGCCATTGTTTTGTACATGAATAAAAGAATGACATCAATTTATCTACTTTCGTGACTTACTTTTGCTGTGTGTGTGTGTTTGCATGTGCATGTGCAAGTGTATGAGTAAGTGTGCATGTACATGCATGTGTGTGTATGTATGTGTGAGTGTGAATATGTGTTTGAGAGAGAGAGTACTAACTGTGTTCGAGGTAGTGAGCCAGTCCAGGCAGGTCGGGAGGGTCACTAAAACTCCCCACTCCCACACACAGGGCTGCAGCAGACTGGGGACACAAAACACACAAAATCAACAAATATCATTTTAATACTATACATAATGTATACAAACACAGAACAACACACACAGGGTAGCAGCAGACTGGGGAACATAAAACACACAAAATCAACAAACATCATTTAATACTATACATAATGTATACAAACACAAAACAACACACACAGGGCAGCGGCAGACTGGGGAACATAAAAAACACACAAAATCAACAAACATCATTTAATACTATACATAATGTATACAAACACAAAACAACACACACAGGGCAGCGGCAGACTGGGGAACATACAAAACACACAAAATCTATCAACGACAACTGTACCATCCTTTCTATACTTCATAATGTCTAGAACTGGTCAACTGTTACAACAAAAACCACAAAAACATGCTTGGGTCCAGTGATAGCAGCTTAGAAATGACTATATAGCATGGTTACTGCATTAAATGTTACAGTAGTAAAACTGTATGTTGTATCCAGAATATCCTATGCAAGAACAATATGCAGGAAGCCCCATAGACAGACAGCACATATATATACATAATAGAACCTTGGGTGTAACAAGGATCTTATGTTGCTGTTGCAACAAGATTTCTCACCAGCTTAGAAATGACTCCATGCTCTTGTATGGTAGATGACACAGTTGGTAAAAAAAAATATTAATAATTCATATTATGTAACTATATCATATGCAGGACGCACATGTATACATGTAGAAGGGAGTAACCAGGATGTTATGTTACTGTTGCAACAAGTATGTTTTAATGATCTGAAATTATTAACATTATCTTAATCCAGGGTGTTACTGTTGTTATAAGAAGGAGGCAAGCCCCATATAGACAGTGTACATGCATTTATCCTACTGGGTGTGTCATGTTGTTGTTAGTTGTTGTTGTTGTTGATGATTGTTGTTGTTGTTGTTGTAAGACGATTTCTCACCAGTTTCTCCTTCATCCTGACTGTTTTCTGCCTCTTCCTGACGGGATGTTCCCTGCCGGAGTCACCTGAGGACAGGCCTGACGGTCGGCCTGGCTTATCGTCTCCTGCAACAGGAAGGACACAGTTTTTGTTGTATCCCAAGTTCAGTATGTACACATCTACAGGGTGTTTTCTAGAAAAATTTAGCATAAGGGAGCATATCGCAAGCATGGCAGGGAGCGAAGTGACCAAGAGGGGATAGTAACACAGTTTTGTAATGTTAGAATGCATTGTTGCATTGTTTTTACATCTTTACTGGAAAAAGATCATTTTGAGAAAGACTAAATAGGGTGTAAGTAGCTACTGAAAATTGATACATGTATGAGGGAGCTGGCTGGTTAAATGAGGGAGAAGCACCCTTATTTCTTGCCTGTTTAGAAAAACCCCTGACCTAGCCTGCATGCGATCCTATTTGTACACTGGTACACTATTCACATGCTAAATACTGTTTAGGGAGCTCTGGTATACAAGTAGGATATCACCCAGGCTAAAGTGCAGGAGAACAACCACAAAAGCCCACCATGGCTAGACAAGATGTAAAAAAAAAGTTTGGTACAAACTGGGCAGACGTCCTACCAAACTAATTTGAAAGTTTCTATTCTACTCTACGCTACTCTAAACACCACCTGCTTTCAGGATAAAGTTTGTCTGCTTACCTGGGAGGTGAAGTTTGTTTCTGTTGCCAAAATACAGTGAGTAATACAGTATTTACTGTTGTGATCAGTTTCATTAGGCTTTCCATATTTACAATTTGACCTAAATAAAAGACACAATGTATTTCTGGTACTTCACCTCCATCTGTGGACATCTCCTCTTCTTCATCCTGATTGGCCGGTTGTGACGTGACATCATCAGACGTCTGACCAATGGGAAGCTGGTCTGAGATCAGCAGTGCTTGCAGCCCATTGGCTAAGGTGATGACTCTGTGGAAATTTGAAATTATACATAATCATACATAACTACTATAGAGTCCTATTTTTCATTCATTCATTTCAGACTAACATACAGGAAAATACACAGAAACGTATTACAAGTCTTCTGTCTAGGAAGCCAGTTTGACTCAAGAATGGGCAACCTCTAAGTGTGGTTTCTTAAACACATATGTAATTTATAAATATGAGGACGTTTGACCTTAGAGATGTGACAGATAAACTACATGTACTCTCATTGGTTCTAATCTCCAAGCAGATCCTACGATGGCCAGGCAGTATCCATTGGCCAGAGGAGTGTCCATTAGCCAATTATGTTGGGTGGCTAATGGAAACTACCTGGCCACTTTGATACAGTAAAGTTAACTGTCCACCGAAAGATCTGCTTGGAGATTAATAGTTTCTTCAAGACCGGAACAGTCCAAGGACGTTGGTAAACAAAAAAAGAAAAAAAGGGGGAGGGGCAGGCATTTGCTTAGGGACACGCCCACATATAGGGTGAGTCATGCAAACAACTCTGAACAGGGAAAAATAGACACCAAGACCCTCTCCTCTGCTCCTATGACGTTAGACTGTTACAGCACACGTACTGTCGATTATAACACCTTTGTTTACACCTATCCATGCACCAACAAATTACGCAATCCGGCACGTGGACATACTTTTTATCAACCCAGCTTTTTCGACCGTCAGTTTCAACCCTAAAAACTCAACCAATTACTACGAAATTTGGCGTGCTGTTTCATTAATATATCTAGATTATATCTGTATCCATATATAATTAAATATATTTAAGATTATTTCGAAAACTCACCTGTATTCTTTCTTGTCGTTCGGCGATTTCTGAACTTCCGCCATTTTGGCTGACCCCTGACCCCGCGCGGTGCATGCCGGGCAGGTTAGGGCTGTTCCACGTCACGGCGGGGAGGGAAGGTTGGTGTTTTTACATTTTTGTCGTCTGCAAAATTAGCGAAATAAACTGTTGTTTTACTTTATATTTCCGATCGCCGAGAGTTTGAGTGAGGCATAAGGTGTCACAGAAGCTACGGTGTGAGTTATAGCCCGTACAATCGTCTCAGAACGATCTTGTAAACAGATTTGTTTAGGGTGTTTATTTCTTCATGTGTTCAACGTGTCAAGTTACACGTCGGAACGAAGTTTTGTGCTATGATCAGTTCTTGTCTTGTCTTGTCCAGGTGCGCTAATTATGTAAGGAATGGCCATGCTGGGAGATCAAATAAAAGTGTAAACAAGAGTTCCACGATCTCATACCTTCGCCAAATGGTGTTAACTCTTGCGGGTGACAAATTATACAATTTTAATCATTTATTTTGTAAATAAGAGCCTCATTTGCATGGATTATATCAGTTGATCATATTCTCCATCCAATGACAGCCTTATCATAACAAAAAGGCTATTATAGCACTTCCTCATAAATTATGCAAATGAGGTCATGATTTGAATAAATTATGTTTATTGATCTTCACTTCACTTTACTTAACTTCCAAATGTGGCAAGTATGAAATTGGGTGCAGCAGTGACAACTATGGAATTATAAGAATTTGCCATTAATTATGCAAATTAGGTTCTCATTTACATAATCTATATCCTCAGATGTTTTTCTCGTTCTCAAGTAGATGTCACAAGTGTTTAATAGTTCTATTATCGAACAAAGCAGATTTATAGAATTTCCTCATTAATTATGCAAATTAGCTCCTGATTTGCATAATTGCCATCTGATTATGTCAAGCATCACTTCAACTACATACATGCCAAAAATCATGACAATACGTCAACCGGATCTTGAGTTATCGTCCTTCAAATTTTTTTCAACAAATGCTCCTGCAGTTCCAGAACAAGGCGCTAGGGGACCCAATCTCATGTCACTTCTTCCCTACCCCCAAAGCTATCTACCAACCAAAATTCGTGACCCTAGCATGTCCAGAACATGAGATATCAAAACCGGAAGTTCAGCTGCAGTACCTAGGAAAGCCGCCAGGGGGCCCAAAATCTAATCATTTCTAGGTCTCATGAAGACCTACCCACCTACCAAATTTCATTCCAATCCATCCACTGCTTCTCGAGTTATCTTGCTAAATTACACACACACACACACACACACACACAGACAAACGCTACTGAAAACATAACCTTCTTGGCGAAGGTAAAAATGTGTTTGTGTGTGTGTGTGGGGGGGGAGGCTATTTGATCATGATTATTGTTATGGGGAAGGCTAAACAATAATATCTAAGATACATGTAATATAAGCATGCTTTAGGGGGAGGGGCGCCTGTCAGCCGTCTGTACAGGAATAGATATCATATTATATAATAACAACACCCTCCTGCAATATTGTTTACCCTTGGCACATCAGCAGAAATGATCAGCGTGGGTATGACAGGTCTTGTCATTCAGACTCATCATACTGTTTGTGTTAAAATATAAATTTGAGATGAAGATGAATATTAAGAGATTATACGAACCATTGATAATGTTACATAACTATAAATATAACGTTATGTGGACTGAACCATGAATGCATGAATGAACAAATGAATGAATTAATAGATATTCTGGAGACACAGAAGGAAGTTGAAAATAACAGTAATCACAAATTACGCCACTCAGATTTCCTCAAAACCTTTATTTTTCCTGTCCTACAGAATCCAGCCTGTGCAGACGTCAGCAATGTGACTGACCTCATCTGTACCCACCATGCAGCCAAGAGAAGACAGACAAACTCCTCACCTCAGACCTCGGCAGTCTTCACTACCAACAAATATGCAAATTCTACAACTTTTAACAATCAGAAGTGCAATATTATTCCTCTGAAATTATCTCCAAGGAGGAAAGGTCACAATTTTGCCAATGATATTGTGGAAAAATTGACAATCAAGTTTTGCTGCTCAGTGTATTAAAACGTCTTTTGGAAATTAAGAAAAGAAACTTATCGTGTCCACAATCAGTGTAATAATTATATGAAAAAGTCTTTTGAATATTAAGAAAAGAAACGTGTCGGAACGAAAATGAATTCGAAACTTCCCAAGAGCTTCCGGACGGTGATTCTCTGCTCGTTAGCGAACTTCATTAACCAGGCGGACCGTACCATTATGCCGATTGCGCTGGTGCCGATGAGCAACGAGTTTGACTGGAACCTGCAGGCTCAGGGCTGGATCCTCAGTTCTTTTGCCTTCGGATACATCAGTAGTCAGGTAAGGCCCTCGGGGTAGCCTGGAGCTAGGCTATAACAGTAGACTGGAACCTGCAGGCTCAGGGCTGGATCCTCAATTCCTTCGCTTTCGGATACATCAGTAGTCAGGTAAGGCCCTCGGGGAAGCCTGGAGCTAGGCTATATTAGTAGACTGGAATCTGCAGGCTCAGGGCTGGATACTCAGTTCTTTTGCCTTTGGATGCATCAGTAGTCAGGTAAGACCCACGGGGAAGCCTGGAGCTAGGCTATCACAATGTAGTCAGCAGGTACATTGGAAGATTATATATTAGAGGATACATTGTACATTAACTTACCGGTAGTCAGGTAAGGCAATAGGATAGTCTGGACCAGTGAGTGATCTTGGCAACTTCCGCATAAAAAAGGAAACAATTTTCTTTTGGAAATTCTATTTCTATTCTAACAATATTTTATGTGATCAAGAATCAGTAATGTGATATGGTCAACATCTGTCTGATTCTGCTGACTGTGCCCTTCTCTGCACTGCCCCCTGTAGGTTATCGGTGGAAGTGCAGCACGGCGGTGGGGAGGGAAGTGGGTGCTGGGCTTCGCGGTCGCCGTTTGGTCCTTAGCGACGTTTTTCACGCCGGCGTTCGCGCGGACGCTCTACGGTCTGATCTTCGCCCGGATCTGTCTCGGGTTCGCCGAAGGGCTGGGGCTGCCGACGATCTTCCACATCTTCGCAAACACGGTTCCGATGGAGGAACGGTCGCGGGCGTTCGGGTACCTGGTGGCGTCCGGGTCAATCGGACAGACTCTCGCATCTGTGGTGAGTTGATTTTATGTAGTTCTGTTACTGAAAGGTTTTCTCGTAAAACTGGCAAATACAGAAAGATTAGCTCATAAAAGTACATACACATGATGGTCTTTGCTTGAAAGTTAATCTGTGTTAGAAGAAGCGGTTAATTATGCATCCCTTCGCAAAGACTGGAGTTGAACAGTGTTGGAAATTACAGTTCAAACTTGTTTCATAGAGATATACTCATATAGACTCGACTTTTTACTGAATGCTGGTAACAGAATTTGAATGGCATGCCACCCCAGCCTGAAAATTTGGTAATATCTGACCAAATCACAGCAATAAACACTTCTTTATTGCATGGATTAATTAATCCTTTTTAGAAGTACCAAAGAACCCAACTAAAACAGCCCCTAGTTGCAGAGTTGACTGATGTGACACTATGCCCCTTGCAGATCTGCCCGAGATTACAGTGGCCGATGATGTTCTACAGTTTCGGGGTTCTGGGGTTCGTGTGGGTCGCCACGTGGGTTCTCTGCTTCCGGGAGCAGCCCATCGACTACGACGAGGAACTCTTCCTTCCTCCCAAGGTAACTTCTTAGCTCTCCTGTGTGTCTGGTGTGTGTAAAAGTTATAGGGAACTTTTTAACTCTCATTCTCCATGCTTCTGGTGTGTGTTTAGGTTCAAGGCTCTCCCCAAGCAATAAAACAAGGGTGCCCCCCTTTCCCCAAAATCCTAGCACCTCGCCCAAAATTTTTTAAATTTAGGGTTTGCTCTCAATATTTTCATGTAAATTCACTGATTTTTCATCAATCAATTCAGGAGCACCTCTCCCAAAACATTTCTGGGGAGACCCCTGATGTTGGTGAAGGTTAGACATCCAGGCAATAAGATACGCCAAAAAACAGTTACTCAAGCAACTGGATATGATTTTGGAAACGGTCAGACGTTTCAGGTAGCATAGTCAATAGTTTGTGCTTGTAAGCTTGCTTTTCTGACAACTCTTCAGTGACACTGTCAACTGAAACGTCTGACCATTTCCAAATTCATATCCAGTTGCTTGAGTATCTTTTTTTTGGCATAAAGGTGGTTTAGGCTGGTGCCCAGCCCTGTTTGAGTTTGGTTCACAGGACAGCAACTGTTGGGAAGAGAAGCAAAGCCTAACAATACTGGATACTAGGCTGGAGTTTTCTTATTTAGTTGTTATCCCCAAGTTGGCAGCGGTGGTGGGTGGTAAGGTACAGTTTTAGGTAAGTTTAACAACCAAAGGGTTATGTCATGTCAGGCTTTCAAATTCACTCCCCCAAAAGGCTGAAGCTGGTGCAGATACTGAGGAGGACCAGCCAATAGCTGCGCAGGGAACACAGAAGAAAAAGGTGCTTAGCAACCGTTCTGAACCGACCAATCAGGACTCAGAGGTGTACAATCATGTGATTGGTGGAGGGGTTTAGTTGTTCTATTTCACTTTTTTTTCTCCAGTCCTGATGGACTCTGTATTTTGGTGATGAAACAGGTGCAGCAGGTACAAGGTGGACAAGTGGTTTGTGGTTAAATATTTTGAAAAAGTGATGCTTTAAAAAAATGCTATATCCCAAAGGTTGTTGCTCTCTTCCTGTATAGATCCTGACCTCTAACCTTTGTCCCTTGCGCATCCTGACCTCTAACTGCTGTACCCTGCAGATCCTGACCTCTAACCTCTATACCCCTTCAGATCCTGACCTCTAACCTCTGTACCCTTCAGATCCTGACCTCTAACGTCTGTACCCCTATAAATCCTGACCTCTAACTGCTGCAGATCCTGACCTCTAACCTCTGTGCCCCTTCAGATCCTGACCTCTAACCTCTGTGCCCCTGCACATCTTGACCTCTAACCTCTGTACCCTGCAGATCCTGACCTATAACCTTTGTCCCTTGCAGATCCTGACCTCTAACCTTTGTCCCTTGCAGATCCTGACCTCTAACCTTTGTACCCCTGCAGATCCTGACCTCTAACCTTTGCCCCTGCAGATCCTGACCTCTAACTGCAGCAGATCCTGACTTCTAACCTTTGCCCCTGCAGATCCTGACCTCTAACCTACGTTGGGTGGAGTTCATCTCGCATTGGCCGCTGTGGGCGATCTACTCGGCGCACTTCGCCATGAACTGGAGTAACTACGTGGTTCTGTCCTGGCTGCCGACCTACCTGCAGCGCGCGCTCGGGGCCAACGCTAACGACATCAGCTTCACCGCCTTTCCTTATATGGTCAACTCACTCGTCGGCGTAGGTTAGTAGCTGCTCCTTAGCACAAGATGAGAAGATTACAGTATTTAATCTTTTTTTTGGAATATATGATTGCATAAGCTAGTAAAGTCTGGAAGTGCAGTGGGTCGAAAGATGATGATGATGATGATAGTCTAGGGAAAATCATTTTGAAATTGTCCATTGCACAGTACTACATTGTATGTTGTACAAAGGGCTTGTTTTGAAAATGTTTGTTTTAATCTATCTTGTTGCGCTATTGAACAAAGATAATTTAAAATCCCCAATCATAAGATTTATCTCCAGATAATGACCTTGCTTCAGGAGCAGGCCACATGTCTGACTGGCTGGTTTCCCGTAAGAACTGGACGGTTCTGTCCGTGCGGAGACTGATGACGAGTATCGGGCTGCTGGGTCCCGCCGTCTTTATCCTGGCCTTCAGCACCACAAACAACCTCATCGTGGCCCTGCTGTGAGTTTTTATCCTTCCTCTATGATCTTCTTTATTTATTACATCTGTCTCTCTCACTCACTCACTATTCTGGCTTAGATTATACTGCTGCAGGTGTCCCTGACACAGGGCTTGGCCTTCAGCACCACAAACAAACCTCATCGTGGCACTGCTGATAGTTTCTCCTGAACTTTACATCATTTATAGAACAGAGAAGGAAAACTTTGCTACTTGCTTGGTGATTTTAACATAGATCTTCTCAAACACGAAAGCCACGCTTTAAGTGCTGACTTTCTAAACACCCTATATTCGTGCACATTTTACCCTACAATAACCAAACCATCTAGGATAACAAATAGATCGGCTACATTAATAGACAACATTATGTCAAACTCGATGATCAATCCTCACTCAGCAGGTCTCCTTGTTACAGATATTTCAGATCACTTACCTGTATTCTGCATTACCTCCTTCATGAAAACAGATAGACCATCAAAAGGACAAGTACATCGTTTCCGTAAGTTTAATCAATGTAATATCGATAAATTTAAAGCCCTCTTATCAGTGGAAAGTTGGGAATCAGTGTATTGTAATACTGATGCAAACACTTCTTACAGCAAATTTCTCGAAATTTTTAATTCTCATTTCGAACAATGCTTTCCTCTTAAAACAATCTCAACAAGAAGAAACTTGGATAACAACGTTAACAAAGCCTGGTTCACTAAGGGATTACGCAAGTCCTCTAACAGGAAAAATCAGCTTTATAGAAAGTACCTCAAGAACCCCACCCCTTCAACATTACAAACATATAAAACATATAGAAACAAATTCAACTTTTTAATTCGTACATCTAAGAAGCAATACTATCAGAATAGGTTTAAAGCTGCTTCAAATAACATACGTAATACTTGGAAAACTATAAATGAACTTCTAAACAGGAAAAGGTCAGTGTCTACTCTTCCTTCAAAGTTTATGGATGGGGAAAATGAAATAACAAATAAAGTAGATATAGTTAACAAGTTTAACGATTTTTTGTAAATATCGGCCCTTCCCTGGCAAGTAAAATAGACAAGACTGACCAATCTCCATCATCCTACGTTCAAAATGATATTCCTCCCATCAACTTATTTGACGCACCTAGCACAGCAGAAATCCATGACATAATTAACAATCTTCAAAATGCTGCCCCTGGTAAGGATGAAATTAATGCAACACTTTTAAAACAGATTAATGCAGAAATCCTAGAACCCATTACTCATGTCTTTAAAAGTTTCTTTTAGAGACAGGAAAAGTGCCCTCCGACTTAAAAGTAGCCAAGGTAGTCCCGCTTTATAAAGCCGGTGATCCATGTGTGTTTACAAATTATCGACCAATTTCTATCTTACCAGCACTCTCAAAAATTTTAAAAAAAATAGTGTATAACAGAATCTTGAAGCACCTTGAAAATAACAACATTTTATACACACACCAATATGGATTCCGTAAAAACCACTCAACATATATGGCCCTATTACAACTAATAAATAAAATTACGTCAGCTTTGGAAAAAAACGAATTCAGTATCGGGATATTCCTCGATTTATCGAAAGCTTTCGATACTGTGGATCACAAAATATTACTTAGCAAACTAAACTCTTACGGCTTCAAAGGTACAGCCCTTCAATGGTTAAAAGATTATTTGTCCGATAGAATGCAGTATGTTTCGAGTAATAACTTCACTTCATCTCTAAAATCAGTAACATGCGGAGTCCCACAAGGATCTATACTCGGTCCTCTTTTGTTCCTAATTTATGTCAATGATCTTGCCCTGGTATCAGTCAAACTCTTCACTCTATTATTTGCCGATGATACTAATCTTTTCTATTCTCACAATAATTTTCATACACTAATAACAACCGTTAATGAAGAGCTATGTAAACTAAACGACTGGTTTAAGTTAAATAAGTTGTCTCTTAACATAGATAAAACGAACTTCATTATTTTCACAGGTAGAAGTAAAAAATACGACAAAGAAATAGCTAATATATACATAGACAATAAACCAATCAAACAGGTATGTAACACACGGTTTCTAGGAGTCCTAATTGATGAGAAACTCACATGGAAGTTTCATATTGACCGTATTTGTAAACAAATCTATAAGAACATTGGTATAATAAGAAAAGTTGCAAGTTGCCTATCACGTAAAATATTTATCACTCTGTACTATACTTTGATTTATCCCTACTTAACATATTGTAATATAGTCTGGGCTAGTACATACACTACTTCAATCCGACCGCTGCATCAGCTGCAGAAGCGCTTCGTTAGGATTGCATCTAATGTCCCATTTTTTGCTAACTCTGCCGCTCTATTTTACAACTTGAAAATTTTAACAGTGTACGACATAAATAAACTCCAAACAGCAATTTTCGTCAACAAAGTCTTACACAAAAGTTCACAATTACCAGCTCAATTCAAGGACATATTTCAACACAACTCAGATATCCACAGTTACAGTACCAGAAAGCAAAATGATTTAAGGCCAATCCTAACAAAATCAAATATGAAACAGTTTACGATAATGTTTAGAGGCCCGTTAATTTGGAACAGTATAAGTCATTCACAGCAGAATTGCCAATCCCTTCCAACTTTCAAACGACATTTAAAAACTGACCTAATAGAGAAGCCATCTACCACTTCCTGATTTGCTTTTGTTTTCCTTGTTTTCTTATGCCACGATATTTTCCTTGCGTTAATATTGGTTTCTTATGTTGTTCTTACCATATTAACTTATGATTTGACTAATGGAAATGTATTTTTTGTTGAGTACGATATGTTTTTGATTGTCTTACTTTATTGTTTAGATATTTAGTTTGCCTTGTTAACTTTATATTATCTTGTTTGAGTTAATTTTCTCTTGTTTGTCCCTTAAAGACATGCATGTTAATTGTTAACGTAAATAATGTTGTAAATATGAGATCGTCAACAGGATTTGGGAGAGCCCACTAGATAAACCTCCTGGTTTCTTGGGATCTCCTGCATGTATTTGATTGTACATAATTTCTTTTTATACCATTACTTTTTTTATGTGCGAAAGACAATAAACAAAACAAACAAAACAGTTATGACACCAGTGACTACACTAGTTATACCGGCTGTACAGATACAGATACAGAAACTTCTTCTTCTATGCTACTGAGCTCTGCAATGCAATACAAAGCAAATCAAATGTTCGATGGTACAAATTCTACAATCCGGAGTCTTGCTAAGAATTGGCATGCCAGAATGATCAGTATGATGGTCGTGGGCATTAAAGGCAAGACAAGACAAGACAAATCAAATTTCAAAATTAGCACCTGAACATTTTAGGCATTTCAGACAGCATTTAGTATCTTTAAGTGACTGAGATTGCCAAAACTTCTAAAGTTTCTCTCCAGTGGACTTTTATCATCACATTTGCTGTTTGTTCTGATCATTTATTTCTTTTGCTGTATCTAACTAGTGTTTGTCTATTAGTTGCTGCTCCCTTCCACCATGTTGTTGACCTTGACCCTTGCCCTTTTCCCCCTGCCCCAGGCTGGTGTCGGTGTCCATGGGTCTGTGTGCGTGTAACTCGTCAGGTCACATGAGTAACCATGCCGACGTGGCTCCCAATCACGCAGGGATCACATTCGCTGTGTCTAACACTATGGTAAGTACTTTTAACCTCTCAGTTCAAGGATTGTTCACTCTATACACCTGCATTATATTTTACAAAGCTAACAATTTTTCAGTACTGATTTGGTCTGTTTGAAAAGCTAGCTATAGTATCACACACACACAAACACACACACTCACACTAACCTCCTCCCCTGTTCCCCTGTAGGCTAGTATCCCAGGCATCGCCCACGGCCCTGTCACAGCGACGTTAGTGACGGCTACAGGACACTGGTACCCGGTCTTCACTCACACACAAACACACACACACACAAACACACACATACACACACTAACCTCCTCCCCTGTTCCCCTGTAGGCTAGTATCCCAGGCATCGCCCACGGCCCAGTCACAGCGACGTTAGTGACAGCCACAGGACATTGGTACCCGGTCTTCACACACACACACAGTACAGACACACACACACTCACAACTAACCCTCTCCCCTGTTCCCCTGTAGGCTAGTATCCCAGGCATCGCCCACGGCCCAGTCACAGCGACGTTAGTGACGGCCACAGGACACTGGTACCCGGTCTTCACACACACACAGAGTACAGACACACACACACTCACAACTAACCCTCTCCCCTGTCCCCCTGTAGGCTAGTATCCCAGGCATTGCCCACGGCCCAGTCACAGCGACACTTGTGACGGCCACAGGACACTGGTACCCGGTCTTCATGGTGGCTGCAGGAGTCAACATGGTGGGAGCCATGATCTACGCTTCACAGAGCTCCGCCAGCCAGGTGCTCTAACACACCCGGACACACCTAACAGGTGCTCTAACACCTGGACACCACCTGAAAGGTTCTTTAACACCTGGAACAGCTGCAGGTTTACAGCTGCAAAACTTCTGTTAGCCAGGTGCCGTAATACTTTCCAACCAGAGACTTACTAAAGGTTTTGGTGCATTCTTGATGTGGCATTTTTATAGGGCTTTCTTTTTCAAACTGGTGTCTTTTTTTTCTTTTCCAAACAGTGGAATATTGGATACTGTATTGCCTGTATTGCCAATTGATACTGTCTTGTAGCTCTTACAGATTACTGTAGTAACAGACTTACATGTATGTCCCCTGCATATAAAAAGTGTACAGCTGCTAAACTGTCAGCCAGGTGATCTGAAACTGTCCCTGTCCAACATGCACCTTTGCTCACCTGTCCAGGTGTTTCCAGGTAGCTGCAGGTAACTTTAGGTTCGGGAAAGGAACCTAAGAATGTATTAGAATGTCTCTTTCTAATCTTTTACTCTTTCAGATGTTTTAACTACATCTATAAGTGTTTGGAAAAAAACAGTGCTGCTTCAATATAGAGGAAAATCTGCTCTTTCAAATCTTTTTTGTACATAAGTATAGCCTCATGATCAGTAACTTTCATCCTGCTATTATTAATAGTAGCTATTTGGTACCAGATGTGTATTTACTGTGGGGTTAGGCAGCAGGGAGAAGGTTAAACATGTACTAGGGCTTCCAACAGCCAGGAACTTGGCTTTCTAAAGTCACAGTGATCAGTGTATGCAATAGATTGTAGGGAACAATAATTTATTGCATTCCTAAGTGTACATACTGATCTATCCCATCCAGAACTGTGCCTATCTGGTTCTATGCCTGAATGGGTTAGGGTTAGGATCAGGCATGGTTCTGGATAGTCTCTATTGTATCCAGAACCGTGCCTATCTAGTTCTGTGCCTGAATGGGTTAGGGTTAGGAATAGGCACGGTTCTGGATAGTCTCTATTGTATCCAGAACCGTGCCTATCTAGTTCTGTGCCTGAATGGGTTAGGGTTAGGATCAGGCACGGTTCTGGATAGTCTCTGCGTGCCCAAGAACATAGATTTGCCCCAGGCACGGTTCTGGATTTATATGGAGTAGCCAGAAGTGTACCTGAGCACAGTTTTGGATACAATATGATCTAGTCATAGCTACTCCAGAGGGGTGAGTTTTGCTGCAGATGCAGACAATTTCCTGACTGACTGTATTATTATATCATATCATATTTCATGTCCACTTCAGCACTGTTTTTATGCAGTTTTCTTATTACATTGTATCCTTGTTGAGAAGGTGTATGAATACATGTAGTTTCATCAGGTCTATATTGATAATTTCATGATATATAGGGTCACTTGATGGTTTCAAAATGAGATTGTGTATGAAACATAAGCATGGTTAGTGACTCTAGTAGGTGACAATATCTAATAATAAGGCTAGTTTTGTGTTTCAATGTGTTGGTTCTTCAGGGCTTTAAGTACTTGGTGTACATACATGTTTGTGTAGGTAAAATTGCTCAGGTATTTCTGATGTCTACCTGCACCCTGACCTGCACCTAACCTGCACTGGTTCTTGTAACATGTATTTGTTTGTTCACTTGCAAATGTTACAGCTAAAAGTTACACGTTTTGTTATTGATATATACATGTAGTAAACCCTGCTGTACAACTTGAGATTGAAGATGGTGTCAGAAACACCTTAAAAATTACGCTAAGGGAAATGAAATGATCATGAGGGATGCAGGTGACATTTTCATGCTGCAGGTAGCTTTAGATATGACCTTCCACTGGTCAGGTTTGTAGGAAAAGTATTTGCAATTCCTGATCTTGAATTGTGTACAAAAAATGCGGCTATATAAAGTCTAACATGTTTGGGTTCCACATGTGGTGTACATGTCTACTGTATAAATTTTCTGTATATTTGTAGGTAACTTAGGGTAAACAAACATTATGGTATCTATGATTATGAAGGGAGTTTCGTGGTAGATAATGTGTTTTTGGTGTCCAGCTATGGTTGGGATGGACTCTAAGGTGCAATTATGTTTCATGTTTTTATAGTTTTTGCTTTACATAAGACCAAAGCCTCAGACCTTGCCATGTTTGTAATGTTTTTTTTTCTTTACAATCTGTTTTAGTAGAAAAAAATGTCCATCTGAAGTCTTCCTTGCAGTTTTAGTTTGATGAAAGCAAGAGGAAATTGTGGTTCCATTATGGAGGATATTATTACTTAAATTGGTGATTTTTATATTGTTTATGAGTAACATTTATATTTCTGTTGTTAAACATCAATATGCAAGGTGTTGAATAAACACTGACTTCTATAAGTGGGAATTCGAAGTATCTTATTGACTCTGCAGACTCTCACCTCTAACAAATATAGTGGGCAACTGAACATAGACACCTGTAATTATGTTATGCAGCTCCTTGACCAAGTGTGGATGTACATAATGTATACCTCAAACATCGACTTTAAGCAAAGCTGTAAAATCTACCGAAGAGTCTAGTAATAAATCTAAATGCAAACCAACAAGAGGAGAACAAAAAAACACTTTCCCAGAGTACTAAAAAAATCTGATGGATTTTCCACAACTTTAGCATAGCTCATCTCCAAGCAGATGCTATGGTGGCAAGGCAGTATCCAATTGGCCAAGCAGTGTCTATCAGCCACTGATATGTGAACACAGCTTGCCAATTGGATACTGCCTTGCCACCGGCCCTAGCATCTGCTTGGATATTAAACATAGCTACTATTGCCCGGGATCGGATCTTCTCTGGTATACTATCCCTTTATTTTGGTCAATTTCTACTATTTTTCCAGCGATCCGTGGTGCCCGGTAGAGGCTAGGGCACCGCCATATGGAAGGACTTTTAACTAACTAACAAACTTCAAACCCTACAAGCTACAACCCTCATGCATTACTGTGGTCACACAGATCTACATGTAACTGGAGCTGCTTAAATTTCTTAAGTAACTCCTTTACATATCAATTCAGATTCTCATACATACAAATATAAACAGATTGCTCCTGTCTTCAGAGTCATTCTCTGAGTTACAGAATGGTAGTGGATGCTTTCTGAAACGTCTTCAATTCAATAAAACATGATTTTTGCATTGCCTTAATGCATAAATGCATAAACCTTCATTTAAACAATAGAACTGTGAGTTAGGCACTTCCAATCAAGCTCCTTTACAACAATCTTCAAAGGTACTTACCAGATACATTTGTAAACGGTCGGATGCCGTCCTTCTGAACTATTCAACGTCCGGATCCCGAGGTTCAACACGTAAAAGACACAGCCCACTACCTTAACGTTACCAGCCTTAATAGTCAGCTCCGTATTACAACAGAAGCATGACCGGCGTAAGGGCCGTGCTATGCCGGTCACCTGCGCTGGGAGTAAGAAGAAGAATGGGAATCAAATTTACTCCCATGCTGTAACCCCTACACTAATAGGATTCAGATATCCTGTTGTTTGAACTTAACGCTATATATAATTCCTGACAATAACGTTACATGCAGATGTTGCATAGCATGTAATTATTCTGTTTGCATGATAATTGGAAAGTGCAAACCGTCTTGATTCAATACAACAAACATCTAACACTCAAAACATTCTTCCACCATGACCCACCTTTATTAAAACCGGAATCATTCCTGTTTCCATGACAACGGCGCAAGATCGCTCGTCCTAAATCACTAAAAGCGTAAAATTCAACTGCAACAGAAAGGAAATTGACAAGACACAGCCACGTACGGTCATGGATTAGCGACATCTAACATTGCCGATCATAACTGCAACAAGCCATCAAATACATGGGATGAAACCTGCAATGCCGGATACATGGACCTGCACTTTGGATACGGATCGCTAGAGGTCACTATTGCACGGGCAATAAAAGTAATCATATTTATTATGAATGTGATTATCACCTAGATGATTTTTACCGTAGTTCATGTTTTGAAACTAGGATAGATATCGATTTAGGATGTTTCAATTTGACAATCTGAAGGTCTGAAGACAGCTTTCGAAAAAAATATTTAATCGTCATACAAATTCTCCCATCATGCTTCAGGCGCAAAAGTCATTGACCTTGCCCGCGAACGCCCCCCTCCCCCCTAACAGCGTAATTATGTCACCTCCTCGCGAATTCTGCCCTCAGTACGATGGGCAAGACACTTTTTGGTTGTAATTCCCCTTTATTACAAGCGTTTCAGCAGTTGTTGATGACAGACGCGCACACAATCCACTAAAATGAAAGATAATCCGCATTAGAATTGTTGACTGTGCATGTTGAACTAGTTGACGTGACATTAGCGGCCTCTAGCGATATGCTTCCAAAGTGCAGCGTTAGAAACAGGCCAAAAGCGCTAGAGGTCGTTGACCGTGGTTGTAACGCCCCCCTCCCCACAAATGTATAACAAGTTAAATGTGTGTCTCTACGGCACAAATGTTAGCTTACCACACGACAACACGGACGACATAGAGTGCAATGTGCATTTCTATAAAGATTTCAACAATTCTAGATGTCAGGTTATTTACTGAAACGGCATATTGTCCATATTATACGTAAACTGCATGTGATGAACTTTCGCGCCATTTGTAGACCGTACATTAGCGGCCTCTAGCAGTTCATTTCTGAAGTGCAGCGTCACAAACATGGGACAAAAGTCCTAGAGGTCGTTGACCTTGGTTGCCTCCCCCCTCCCCATATATAAAGTGTACTTGTGCATCTAGGCGAGCATTTAGCCATTCGCACGACCAGACAGACAACCTAGTGTGCACTTTCCGTTCCTTTGAGGATTATCAACAATTCTGGATGACAGGTTATCCACTGAAACGGTAAATAATCCAGATTTCATCCGCAAACTGCGTGTGATGAACTTTCGCGCCAATATTGTGGACCACTCATTAGCGCCTCTAGCGGCTAGGCTTCACACTGCAGTACCAAAGTTGAGTGGTCATATGTGTAGTATAATGTCCTTGGTGTACAGTGTTTCTAGTATTTCTCCTGAAATATATTTCTGTTCGTTAGATGGCGCTTTTGGGACACCGACAATCTGTGCTCTTTTCATATGGCTAATTTGCCAGTCAATCAGTTGCAGGCTTCAGCTTTTTGCCCATTACTAATGCTTTGTGGCATAAACAGAAAAAGGCAATGTTGAGGAATCTTTGGCAACTCTGCATTCAGAATCATACACACACGCACGCACATACTAACACACACAGGCACACACACACTCACACACACACTCACACACACACACACAGTGTCTCACACACACACACACACACACACACACGCGCACACACAGACACTTAAATACAGGCAGATAGACAAGCACAAAAGCAATGAAATAAAGACAACATAAAATGTTTTGTTGAACAAGTTGTATAATTGTTCCTCATCTTTACAAAGTTATACTTTTCTCTTTATAAAATCACTCTTCAACTTTAAAAAAATAGTTTTTCATGAAGATTCCTGAGCACATAGAATATTAAGAACAAAAAACAATATCATAATCTGACAATCTGTTTCCTCCTTATTAATAAGATATATTACATCATCATGATAATATAAATAGTTTCGATCCTCAAAACTGTAACCCTGTATTTAACTTGGTAGTGCCCAGGTACTTAAAAACTATAACAAAACACTAAATCTGACAGCCAGTTCCAGTAGGCATTAATAATAGTCTTACTTCTTTAAAATTAAGAAAACAATAAATTATACATCTTTGTAGTAATTTTTCTTACTACTTACAAATATAAAACTGCAATCAAAATGTTCTCTGAACATCCTAGTATGATTGAAGTAGAGGTTATACTCTATGATATAACTTATACTATAACCAACAAGAAGCAAAACCAACACAAACTAACCAACCAACCAACCAACTGGAAACATAAACACTATATGAGGGAATAAGTGGGAAAAACCAAGAACATCAGATCTCTGAATATGTAGATAAATAACTAAAGTGTTAACAGTTGCATAAATGCCTTGAACTTAGATAAAGAACCAAATGTAATGATACAGATTTGCAGATACGTATTTTGTCCTCTTGGCCCTGAGTGTCTAACAGGTTTTTTCTTAGCTGTTCAGTATTTAACTGTTCTGAACAGGGGCCTGTTTGTGTGTTCCAATATGGAACACTTACCAAACTGTCAAGAAAGCTGGTCTACAAGTTAAACTTCTACAAAAACAAACCAAGTCTATTCAGACAGCAAAGTGCTGTTCTGCTTCTTAATTTTTCAGCTTCAGATTTTCAAGGCATCGCGTTTTTGCCCACTAAAACAGAAAATAGTTTGAGGTGCTATTTTCTTCTCTTGTTTCCATTTCTTTTACTAGTATTTGGTTGAAGTTTTCCAAGTAATTTTTCCTTTCAGCTTTTTAATTGTCTGCAGCTCTTTTTTATTTTTGTAGATTTTTAGTCTTTCTATTGAGTTTTCTTCTGCTTTGCTTCAACATTTTCCTTCAGACTTCCTCTTTTCCTTACCCTGTTTTTTAGCCCACTTTCAGCTGCAGGAAAATTTCTCTGAACTTTTTCATTTTTCCTTGTTTTTTTTTTTGTTTCCTCATCATGATTTTTGTGTTTTCAATGTTTCTTTTGGCAGCCACAGATTGTTTCCTATTCCTGAGTGTGCTTATTTTTGTTTCCTGGCCACAGATTTTTGTGTTTTCCATGTCTACTGGCAGCTGCAGGTTTTCTCTATTGTTCTGCATTTTTTTTAGTCCCCTGCAATTTCAGGTTTCCATGCCAATGCTCCTTACAGTTTCTGTGTGCTTTTTCATTTCTTCTTGTGTTTCTGGGTTTCAGTTTTGCTGATTTCTGTTTCCTTGTCACGATTCCCGATGTCTACCGGCAGCCGCATGTCTCGACGCGCATGTTGGGGTAGGGCTTGACGACGATGTCGTCTCCGTGTTTCTCCATGACGGAGATGGCCGAGTAGGCGAGCGGCACGCAGCAGGGCGCGGGAACGACCCGGGGTCGGAGGTCGTGCTGCAGCGCCATCAGCATGGCGTGGTTCGTGGCGTTGACGTGATCCGGGAGCGGGCGTCCGCAGGCCCCGCCGCAGCGCCGCGCGTTGTACCGCCGAGGCTGCAGGATGAAGTTCGGCCGCACAACATCGTCAAACACCACATAGTGATCATAGCGGCGACAGTCTCCCAGCTGCCTACGACCTCTGCCCTCTGACCCTGCATCTGTGCCCTCTGATCCCACATCCATGCCCTCTGACCCAGCACCCTCTGACCTAATATCCGTGCCCTCTGACCTCACATCTGTGCCCTTTGACCCTGGGTGTGTGCCCTCTGACCCTGGGTGTGTGCCCTCTGACCCTGCCTCCGTGCTGTTGTCATGACGACGTACGACTTGTCGGTTCCGCCCGCGATACGCCAGCCAGTCCCGCAGCAGCTCCGGTCCGCGCCGCTCCTCCTCCTCAGCCGCTTCCCGTCCGGTCTGGTTGCCTAGCAACATCCGCTGAAGCACGTCGAGAGACGAGATGCGATCCCTGCTGTGCGACCTTGACCTCTCACCCTTCCCCCTCCGTCTGAGGTTACCCCCGGAGCGCTGGGAGAACACGGCGTCCTGCTGCCCGCCCCCCTCCAGCACGTACGCGGCGAGCAGTGTCGCCTCCCGCGCCGTGTCAAACACACGCCTTGCGACCCGCTGGTCCACCTGCAGCCCTGTCGCCATGGAGACCACGTGGAGCCGCAGCCCGTGCTTCAGGCGGGACGACCTCCGCCACGTCTGCACCGGCCGGGAGACGCTGAAGGTCACCCACGGAGCCGTCTCGTTTCCATACACCGTCTGGGAAATGGGGAAATTAGACGTTATTATCAGAAACATGCTTTGGTAAGCAGCTGAGCCACACTGGGAGAATGAAGAATGAATCAGTGAATGAATGGATGCAGGATGGAATGAATGAATGAATGGATGAATGTTTCTTTCTAAAAGTCTGACAAAACCAGTACAAACAGATTCAGGCCACAAAGTTCTACAGTCGTGCCAGGTGGACAACCATAGCCTAACAGCTACAAGATTTCTAAGACTGATATATTGATTAGGCTAAGTGTGATGGGCACATGCACTCCTTAAGGGCTGGAAATAAAAGATGACATGAGCTCAAGACTAAGTATATCTCATTTAAGATGGCTCTCTCTCATTTAAAACATAGAAGTATGACAGAAGACAGTGAAAAGAAAGCAAGAAACTACATGAATCAACAATTAATTTACTCGAAGAGAAGTGTAAGTCAGCCAGGTGAGGTGAACTATGGATCATGACCTTGACAGTAAAACTGACCTTGGTGGCGAGGTGACGATGTTTCCTGACCCCTGACCTGCGTATGACCTTGAGCAGGACCAGCTGATAGGGCGGCTGCAGGATGCCCTTCCTCACCGCAGACTGGAAGGTCGTGCTGAAGGTCAGAACCAGCTCCGACTCACGCACAACGTTGACCTTGGACACGTGGCAGTCGACCTTGAACTTGAAGTTCCCCACGCCCCTTCTCCAGCTGACTGTAGAGGAGAACAGAGCAAGGTCACCTTCACAAGTCAGCAGCGCAAACTTGGAGCAGTTTTTACATGCCCCCTACTTAAAAATGTATTTTCAATAGGCCTTATTTACCCCTAAATACCACCACTCTACCACCAAGATTGAAAAATTCTGACCCGCGTTTAGTACAGAAATGACAGCCCGTCGGGCTGAGGGGGTCAAATTGCTAACAAGCACAGAAGGAAACTCCGGTCCGAGACCTTAATAACGAAACTATCATTCTTAAGTCTGATTGTATAACAGATTGCATAACAGATATCTAAGATGGAACAAGGAACACCTTCAAGACAATTTTGTATTTACATGGGTGGAAAGGAACAGAAAATAAGTGGTCAAGGCAAAATCATGCTGAGTTCAATTTTATCTAGATCAGGATATGACAACTAGGAAAATAATTACTTGTGTGAAGAAAATAAGAGGCTGTTCTTAATATTGAGTCCTGTTTTCATGTTCTAAAATGTAAACACTGTGTTATGTAAAAGATCACGCTCACAATATTTCTGTGTTTACAGGAAGAAACTGATAAAGATTTCAGATAACTATAGAAAGAAAACAATAAAAGTTACTTCTGACTTATGTCTTTTTCATGTGTTGCTTCAAGAGTTGATTTCAAAGACAGTAATTTCATCAGTCTTGATTACTGTATGTTATCAGTTAAACTAAATGTATATCAACCGAAAACGCCATCAAATAAAGGTACAGGATTAATAATTTTAAGAAAAGTTACAAGTAATTTCCCCACCTTTCCACGGCAGCACCTGGTACACTGTGGAGTTCCTGAGCGCCTGTTGTCGCCACCTCTCGCCGCCCGGCTGCCAGTTACTCCTCCAGGTCAGGTACCGCATGTACAGGTGGACCACGGGCGGGCCGGGGCGCGCTAGGCGCCGAGGGCAGCGCTGGGGCCGCCCGGTGCCGCCTCGTGGGCAACGGGCTCGGCCGCAGGGAGCTTTTGCCGTGCGCTGAGCCCGTGTCTCTACTATCTCTGTTCCCGACTTTGCACCGAGACGACCGCTGAAACTCCTCGGCGCTGCAGTCGCCTCCCCCCGAAGGAAACTCGTGTTACGTACGGTACCAACAGCTACCTGCTCAGCCACTGTTCTCTCGCTTTCTTCCAAGCTTGCTGCCTTCCTTGTGCGTCTTGCGTGTGTCTGAGACATCTCTGAGGCGTAAGAAGCAGCGAAAATGAGGAGAACGAAAAGAAACACCCGCACGAATCTCGCCATGTTGGAACTTAGGGAATCCTCCTCGGTTTCTGAGAACTTTCCAACTGTGGGAAACACTGGCCACGCCTCCTCCAAAATAATACTGCAACAATCGGCGTCAGTCTCACAACTTTCAGCACGAATTTTTAGACTTTCACAGCCTAACGTATAGACTCTTCTTTTGGAGAAAGACTCAGAGCGAAACGACTAGAAGAAGTTCAGTTCCTTGGCTCCAAGTTGTGAGGATTTTTAACGTTCAAATGTTGGAGAGAAAATAAAAACTATGGCGCCAGCGGGTCTGTTCACACGCCTGGAACACGGGTAGTCTTCTGATGGGGCCAAACCAAAAAAATACTTGTTTCTTGTTATTTTAAATAAAAAGTTGCAGATTTTACAAAGTATTGACCTTTCGAGTTTAAAAACAAATGCAGGGATCTGAGGATATAATTTAGACAGGACATACACAAGAAAATGTGTAGATTGTGGCTCAAAAAAGCAAAAATATTACCGATATTTTGTATGTTTGAAATGTCTGAAAACAAGCAATTGTATTGAAAATGCCTCATCATGAATTTGGCGGCACGTTCCACATCTTGTCACTCAAGGGAAGGCGGCGGTGTGACGTTTTGTGCTGTGATTGGCTCAAAGTTTTAATCCGATAGGGGAAATTTCAAACCCAAATCAAAGTACTTTATTCAAATTACAATAATGATACACGGAGGAACAGTTAAGGCTAGGTGGCAAATTTAGCTGGTGTACTTAAAGTACCTCAACTTTCTTGTTGATGAAATGAATACATGACATGAATTTATATATATGTTGACTCTGGATGGATGCTGTTTTGTGTCCCTTGTTTACTCACTCACTCACTCACCCACTCACCCACTCACTCACACACACTCACTCTCTCTCTCTCTCTCTCTCTGTGTCTTGTTTACACACGGCCTTAATTAACAACTGTTTTTTTCTTGTAGAATGATAATGGCGGTAATAAACAGTAAGGAGTGAGACATTTTCTTTGAGATGATAAGAAGAAAAAAAAAGCTGAAAAATTGCCGATTGCAGACCTACCTGTATAGTGTACGGATATTTCCAGTCCCACGATCTCCTCTGATCCCATGAAAATGAAACATTTGGAGAATTTTCCACGCACATAAAGGCGTAACGTTGAAGATTGTGCCAACACTCAATGGATCAAAAGCGCCCTCCTAACGACCAGAAATATATTGCAGGGGAAGTGGTCAAGAAATATCTTGCAGATGTTTAACATATAGTCAGAAAGCAGGTAGAAATGCTGGTAAAAAAATCTATATCTGTATCTGTATAGCCGGTATAACCGCCCTTCGGTATCACACACCAGCTTAAAATCACTTAGGACAAAAGTTGGAACAGTGTTCTTTATTCGTGCGTACTAGTATTTCCCCTGCAATATAATTCCAGTCGTTAGGAGGGCGCTTTTGAGCCGCGGAGAATCAGCGCTATTATCAATAGTCCTTATCTGCAGCCGATCTCTTCTGCACTTGCCTGTCAGCCGACCTCCAGGGGCACCCAGCGCTTCACCGCCCGACAGCCCATATTTCATGCCGGCTCGGCGGGTCCCAAGGGAGGGTAAAAGTGCTCATCAGTCACAGAAGGTCTGGATCGTGTCCAGGGCCGGCACAGATTAATGGGCGTGTGCGCGGGGCTCCCCAGGGGTATGTACAACAACCTGATGTACGTGCTCGTGGGGCTCCCCAGGGGTTTGCATCATACCCTGACATAAAACTTAAATCTGACCCCCTCCCACAAACACCACTTATAGAGACGTTTGAAGTTGATAGCGTCAGCTGGAGGTCCCAAACTGAAAACATCAGCCTAAAACTCCCTTGGAATTTAGAAAAAGAGGAGAAACAGTGTAATAATAAAGGAATTGAATAGACAAAAGAAGATGGACCCCAACTGACGGAAAAGAGAGATACAAAGAGAGAGAGATTGAGAGAGAGAGAGAGAGAGAGATGGTGAGAGAGAGAGAGAGAGAGAGAGAGAGAGAGAGAGAGAGAGAGAGAGAGAGAGAGAGAGAGAGAGTAGAGAGTAGTAGTAGTAGTA